CTCCTCTTTAGAGTTGATGCTCACGCAGGTTGCCATGTGGTGGACACTGAAGCTTCAGTGTTTATCCAGCTCTGCGTCGGTCTGTAAACCTTTCTGTGTTCTAACCTCTCTCCATTTTTCAAAAGCATCTCCAATATTGATCCTAGTTTGAGCACGTTTCTGCTCGTGGAGCTTATTAGAAACATGCAGAGGCTTTTTAGGTCGGGTACAATCATTTCTATCTGAACCACTTCTCTTGCCCGCTTCCATCGCTGCAACACCTGTTGACCTGATAACTGCTCTCATATCTGGCAAACCGAGGGGCGTCCAAAAAGGCCGTGTGGGGTCGCCTTAAAACCGCCTACCTTCTCTGGTCCAAACAAATCCAGAGCATTCAGGAGCAGAATCTAAAGTTAGAAGGAGGACATACTGGCTGCTGCATTGTTGTCAGAGAAGCACTTCAACATAACATGTTTCCTTAATGTCTGATCATAGAGTAAGGTCACTTTATCATTTTACTCAGCAGAGATCTCACTGATTGGATCTTTAACATCCCATTTACACCAAAATGTGTACATAATCTCCTCTTTGATTCTTACAAAGTGTAAGAGAATGTCAGCATTAATGTGAATCACCTGAAAACACACTTCCTGTTAACAGAGCACAGCTGACACTTTCAGTATTAGAGGCATTAACTGTACCTGAGTCTCCCCTCCTCTCGTATAAATCTTTACTCAGTGTGCGATGCCAAGTACACATGGCTGCAAGGACTTCTGTCCTAATGCATGAGAAAGCTGTAAAATGTTAACACCCTGCCACCATAAATTCATGGAGGACGAGCCCTCTGTGGCTGCAGAAACAGCCTGCTTCTCCGGGGCCAGTCGACACTTTCTGCTTCACACCTCCCTGCAAGTTCCCAAACTCAGCACTTCACTTTTTGTGCAGTGTGCTGATTTTAAATTACACCTCGTAGCCTTAAAGCACTGCTAGCTTTGTTCCTGTACAGTATAAAAGTGCAGGAGGTGGACTTAAAGACGTATTATTTTTCATTTATGTGATATTTATTTGTTTCTGGGATGGTTGGCGCTCACAGACAGGCCGTGCTGCAGCTCTTCATATCAGTGTGATGGAGGAGCTGAAGTCTCCGAGCTGTCAGCCCGTCTTCTCCCTGCACACTCCTCGCCTGATATACGATGCACTATTCATACTGAGATACACAAGTGAGGCCCGATGAATGAGTTGGAGGGGACGTTAGATAAAGTTCAGCCTGTCACTTTTTAACCCGTAGCTACCTGTACAGACGGTGATAGAGCTTTATATTCAATTAAACAACATGTTATTATCAGGGATTTATCTTTCTATGAATTCTTATTTTAGAGCTTTGTGTCGGTGTGTTTATAGACAAAATACAAGAGTCAGATTTATCTCAATGTAAATTTTCACAAATTCAAGAAAAAGATTTGCTTCCAAATGAAAAGGGGAAACATGTGAACCTCTGATGTTTCAGTTTATTGTCTTTGCTTTCATCCATAAACCGTCAGGACGGCACAAAGTCAGATTCTTTTAAAGGAGCAATATGTAACTCTGACACCTAGTGTTTAAAATGGGTACTGCAGTCTAAATTCTAAACATTGTAGAGAGCTGTCTCCCCCCGCCCCCTCCTCTCTAGAATCGATTCTCACGCAGGTTGCCATGTGGTGGACTCTGAAGCTTCAGTGTTTATCCAGCTCTGCATCGGTCTGTAAACCTTTCTGTGTTCGAACCTCTCTCCATTTTTCAAAAGCATCTCCAATATTGATCCTAGTTTGAGCACGTTTCTGCTCGTGGAGCTTATTAGAAACATGCAGAGGCTTTTTAGGTCGGGTAAAATCACTTCTATCTGAACCACTTCTCTTGCCCGCTTCCATCGCTGCAACACCTGTTGGTTTGACCTGATAACTGCTCTCATATCTGGCAAACTGAGGGGCGTCCAAAACGGCCGTGTGGGGGTGCCTTAAAACCGCCTACCTTCTCTGGTCCAAACAAATCCAGAGCATTCAGGAGCAGAATCTAAAGTTAGAAGGAGGACATACTGGCTGCTGCATTGTTGTCAGAGAAGCCAGCACTTCAACACATCATGTTTCCTTAATGTCTGATCTTATAGTAAGGTCAAAGTCTTTATGCTAAGCTAAGCATTTTGTCTCTTGGCTCTAGCTTCATATTTAGCAAACGTGAGAGTGGTATTGATCATCTCATCAAACTCTTGGCAACAAATCGAACAAGCATTTTACCAGAATCATAATTTTCAATATGTAAATATTTGTCTTAATCAGAGACGCTATCAGTGTCATCTCATTACATCGACATCCGTCTGAACAGTTCGATACTTCCTTTCTTTAGATTTTGGTTCTTTCAGGGAGCAAGAAATTAGAAAAGAAATTTAAGATACCTCAGGGAACTTTTGATGAATGGCTGAGATGAAAAAAGAGACTGAATCAATAAAAACAAAAAGTGACAAATTACAAACTAAATGACTTCATGAATAAATCATGGTGCACCCGATATAAATGCAGCTGCAGCTGTGTGGAATCTGTCCAGTTCGTTTCTTCTTTACCTGCTAACATTAAATCACTTTGTGAAAATGAATCTACAGAATCCATAAATATAACTCAAGACCAAGAACAAGGCAGGGCAAGACCAAGCATGCCTGAGACCATAGGGCTCCAAGATCAAGACCAAGACCAAGAAATGCCCAAGACCAGAGGGCTCCAAGACCAAAACATGCCAGAGACCAGAGTACTCCAAGACCAAGACATACCAGAGACCAGAGTACTCCAAGACCAAGACATACCAGAAACCAGAGTGCTCCAAGACCAAGACATGATGCCACCGACCAGAGTACTCCAAGACCAAGACATGACATGCCCAAGACCAGAGTGCTCCAAGACCAAGTCATGACATGCCCAAGACCAGAGTGCTCCAAGACCAGGTCATGACATGCCCATGACCAGAGTGCTCCAAGACCAAGTCATGACATGCCCAAGACCAGAGTGCTCCAAGACCAAGACATGACATGCCCATGACCAGAGTGCTCCAAGACCAAGACATGACATGCCATGACCAGAGTGCTCCAAGACCAAGACATGACATGCCCAAGACCAGAGTGCTCCAAGACCAAGTCATGACATGCCCAAGACCAGAGTGCTCCAAGACCAGGTCATGACATGCCCATGACCAGAGTGCTCCAAGACCAAGTCATGACATGCCCAAGACCAGAGTGCTCCAAGACCAAGACATGACATGCCCATGACCAGAGTGCTCCAAGACCAAGACATGACATGCCCATGACCAGAGTGCTCCAAGACCAAGACATGACATGCCCAAGACCAGAGTGCTCCAAGACCAAGTCATGACATGCCCAAGACCAGAGTGCTCCAAGACCAAGACATGACATGCCCATGACCAGAGTGCTCCAAGACCAAGTCATGACATGCCCAAGACCAGAGTGCTCCAAGACCAAGTCATGACATGCCCATGACCAGAGTGCTCCAAGACCAAGTCATGACATGCCCATGACCAGAGTGCTCCAAGACCAAGTCATGACATGCCCAAGACCAGAGTGCTCCAAGCCAAGTCATGACATGCCCAAGACCAGAGTGCTCCAAGACCAAGTCATGACATGCCCAAGACCAGAGTGCTCCAAGACCAAGTCATGACATGCCCATGACCAGAGTGCTCCAAGACCAAGTCATGACATGCCCAAGACCAGAGTGCTCCAAGACCAAAACATGTCCAAGACCAGAGTACTCCAAGACCAAGTCATGACATGCCCAAGACCAGAGTGCTCCAAGACCAAGACCAAGACCAGAGTGCTCCAAGACCAAGACCAAGACCAGAGTGCTCCAAGACCAAGACATGCCAGAGACCACAGTACTCCAGGACCAAGTCATGACAAAGACATGCCCAAGACCAGAGTGCTCCAAGACCAAGACCAGAGTACTCCAAGACCAAGTCAAGACTAAGACATGCCTGAGACCAGAGGGCTCCAAGACCAAGGCAGTTCAAAATCGATGCAGGACCAAGACATTAAGGGATGGAAACCGAGTCAAGACCAAGGCAGGGCAAGACCGAGACTAGCCCAAGACCAGAGTTCTCCGAGACCAAGTCAAGACCAAGACCGAGACAACTTTATTCAGGGATCAAGACTGAGTCAAGACCAAGGCAGGGCTGGACTAAGACATGCCATTGACCTAGATATGAATCCACAGGTCTGATTTGATATCCGGTTTTAAGACTTTATAAATACACTATAATGTTGAGCGTGTCGCAGCATGTGGTGTACAAAGCCTGGTGTTGGAGTCAGATTCTCCTGCAGAGCTGCTCCAGATTTACTTTATGATGCAACCACTTAATAACTGAACGAGAAAAAAAGTCGAGTTTGTTTTATTAAAAGTCGTTTTAACGCCTCGACGGGTTTAAAGATGAATGTGTTGCTCTTTGAAGTCTGTGAGAGTGACATATCCAGATCCACTCTCAGGTTTTAATAGTGAAATAAAGAGAAATTTATGAGTCTTCTCTTCAGTCTCTTTATCTCTCAGGTTTCCTCAGGCTCAAAGGAAAATTCTCTCCTTTTTATGTTTCCCCTCCTCCTCCTCCTCCTCCTCCTCCTCCTCTTCCTCCTTCGCCTCATACCTTCTCATGTCCACTTGTACATGATAAAGAAACGTCTCCTTGTGAAAACACTGCATTGTTGATAATGTTGTGATGGAGTCATTAGTTTGGATCCTTCAGAGATCGAGCATAACTGTATGCTTTGTGTCATGATGAAATATTACAGCAGGTTGAAGCTGAAGGTGAGGATGAAGATGTGAGTGTTTCTGTAGCAGATAAACTCTCAGCTCACGCCGAGGACTGTATCTGAGTAAAGATGATATGTTTCTGTTGGAGAATACATGAATATTTTTATGACTGCAGAGCGACGTGGATGTTTTTAAAGGTGTTGATGTTAATCTTTGTGTTCTCCTCCTCCTCCTCCTCCTCAGCGTTGTGTACTGAAGAGTGCGCTCACGGCCGCTGTGTGTCTCCTGATACCTGTCAGTGTGAGCCCGGCTGGGGGGGACTCGACTGCTCCAGTGGTGAGTTCAATTTCACTTTCATATTTACCATCTGCTTCATCAAGTGGCAACCTCCGGTGTTGAAAAATGAAGCTGGTGCCCTAAAATCCTGCAGTTCCTCGAGTGTCCACTAGATGCTGAGCTGCAGAAGCACAGGAAGTCACACACACACCATTCTAAAAAGCCTGTTTTTACAGCAGAGATTAACATGTTTACAGCCTGGTTAAAAAAAACCAAACAGGTCTGATTAGCTCATGTCTCGATCGGCACACACTGTACGGGGGTGAATGTTTTAATGATTCATCTGTTTTGATTTTATTTAAATGCAGAAATTTTGGGCGACATATTGAACGCAAATCAGAGCCACAGACTTCATCTCCCAGTGTACACACTCTATGGGCCCAGTAAAACGAATATCTGAGTACTTTTACACACAGAAGTCAGATTTTTATGCTTCATGGGTCACTGAGCAGCTTTCATTGTATTGAACAGGCTCCGCCTCCAATGCTGTAGCCATTCTATAATACATCCATGAACAGAACGCTGCAGGGCTACCAGGGGAGGGCTGCTCTCCAGTGCTGGGAGAAGAGAGTTTATGTAAGAGGTTAGGTAGAAGCTTGAAGCCGTCTGGGGAAATTCTTGGTTTCATATCGGGGAACTATGGCGTGATTTACAGAACAAGCCTTTTAGCGCCCTCTGCTGACGCATCCTGGGATTTCTCCAACATACGTTTACCGCCTGAAAGGAAACTTTGTCCACATTTAGTCTGGGCATCCAGCATTCTGACACTGTATGTGAGTATTAAAATTGGAATCAGCAAAATAGGTCAACTCTAATGAACTCTGACTGTTACAATGTTACAATTCACTTAGCAGATGCTTTTATCCAAAGCGACGTTCATACACCGCCACAGTAGCAGCGGGAGCAATGCAGGGTTGAGTGTCTTGCCTCAAGGACACATCTGACATGTTGCTCAGCTAGGGATCGAACCCTCAACCTTTCGGTCGAGAGGCAACGACTCCAGCAACTGAGCCACAGCCACCCTCAGTTTAATGTTCACAGATCGACATTTCAAAGGACAAGAAGACGTGTGAGGTTAATTTTCTGTGGTGATAAAGAAAGAGCAGGTTGAGGCATAAATACTGAGCGAGAAGAGCTGAAATAGTCCGAGTAAAAGTTGAAGGTGACGGTTGTAGCACAGTATAAAAGAGAGAGAAGTAGAACAAAATGTTGAACCCATTTCTGTCCTGTTGGCTCTGTTTGGACTGAGCCATTTTCTGCCCTCAATCTGTTGTCTTATTTTAGAATAGATCTGAATTCATGTCACATCGGTTGTTGTTTGAAGCTCTGAAGGGGGTCACGAATAAAAAAAACAACAACACTTTGCAACCTTTATTTTGAAAGGCTGGAGAAACTGCAGCTGTCCTGTTGGGAAATTTTAACATGGGGCTCTATGGAGACTGACTCACTGCAGGAGACTGCCTCTGGTGGACACTGGAGGAACTGCAGCTGTAAAGTTGGATATTTTAACATGGGGCTCTATGGGGACTGACTCACTGCAGGAGACAGACTCTAGTGGACACTGGAGGAAGTGTAGTTTTTTTGGATATCAGTTTTAAGTTTTGGTTTCTTATCAGCGGCTCTATTGAACCCTGTCGCCCACGTCCTGAAATATTTGGGTGAGTTTGTGATGCAGAGCAGAAAAAAACTTTTTGTGGAAATAAAGCTTTTAGTTCTCTATATAAATCTAATTTCCCCTGTCTGGTTCCTCCTCAGCTCCTCTGACTCTCAAACTGCTGCGGAGTCCAGCTCAGTAAAACCGTGCTGTGTGTGTGTGTGTGTGTGTGTGTGTGTGTGTGTGTGTGTGTGTGTGTGTGTGTGTGTGTGTGTGTGTGTGTGTGTGTGTGTGTGTGTTGGGGGGATTTGTGGGGGTATTGACACTTAATGAGTCACACAGCCCCTTTAGTCCCTCTTTGTTATTGGTGTGCTCTGCCAGCCCGTTGTTTACCTGTTTTTATTGCTGCCAAGGTGACGGGGGAGGGAGGCCGAGCAGAGGCAGAGGTTAGGTAAATCTTCCTCCACTTAGACTGAGAGGAAGAGGAGCAGAACGTCGATCAACTCGATCTCTAATGTCCGGTTGCCTCTGGAAGTTGAGCTCACTTTAACTTCTTTAAAGAGCTCGGTTGTTTCTGCATGCATCGATTCAACATGATTTCTTGCTTCACAGAATCCTCTCTGCTCAGGGGAAGCATACACTTCTTACTCTTCAGTCATATTTTCAACCAAGAGAAAGAAGAAAGAAAGAGAGAGAGAGCACGAATACACTGGCAACTTTTTGTTACCAAACCGTTGCCAACCGATTTGTGCAATTAAGTCAGTGAGCAGGAGTCTGCAGTTTTTGGTAATTAAAAACAATAAGTTAGGCCTCGTGTCCACCTAGTGTTTTTACTGGCTAAGAAAAGTGCTGGCTGTGCGTTTGTGAGCGCTTGCATGAGGCTGTTTAATTGTGTTAAGTTTTACCTATTCTGCTGATCCACATCTTAAAACTTCACATACAGTTTCACAGCGCTGGACAAACAAACTAAATGTGGACAAAGTTTCAGATCATGAGGTAAACGTATGCTGGAGTAATCCCAGGATGAGTCTGCGGAGGGCGCTAACATGGGATCATTTAAAAAGCTGTCCTCAATTTTGGCCCATTTCCTAACTTAAGACGAGCAGACTAGTTTGATTTAGCACTTTATCAGCTTTGTATCTAGGAACATCTGTACACTGGACTCGGGAGTCCAGGATGGAGGTGAGGTCAATGACTACACTTCTCTGTGCAAAACTGTCTGTGTGCTTCCATCATGTTTTACAACAAATCCAAACCAATCAGTGATAGATGTACAAAGAACAGATCGTTCATATTTGGCAGATTTGTGCAAAAGAACTTGTTTTATCATTTCTTTCTTTTCCTTTTTTTTTTTTTTTTTTATGTGATAAAACTGAACTCGTCTTCGCACCTGCAGCTGGTGCGACAGGTGACTCTGAAGACTGGAAAACACACTAAAAACATATTCCATCTCTGATTAACAAACTGCAGTGTAAAGTCTCCTCATCAAAGTGCTGTGATGGTTTGTCAGGCGCTCATTACCCGGAGAAGAATGTCATTTTCTATAAAGACGCTGCCCAGTCAGACTGAATTGTCCTTCCTGTGGGGATATTGAACCAGTTCTTACACACACTGAGTCTTAATATCCACACACTCTCTCCTGATTGGTCAGAGGAGATGGATCCTATGGTCACAGACACATTCATAGCTCCTTCAGGGTTTCATCTTTTCATTGTTTTGTTTTGTTTTGTAAAACCCTCCGGCTCAGGATGAGAGCTATGGTTTCTTGATGATCTACAGATACACTCTGTTTATCTGCTGAAGCCTGCGATGAATGAATTTAAAGACTTAACGTCTCAAAGGAAGATCAGACGTATCACTGCGTCCTGATTGGTGGACAACGTCTGCTGCTCTAAATCAGACAGATTAAGTTTCTTCCAGTTAATTAACAAACAAAAGAACATAATGGGAAGGCCTTCCAAAGGACAAAGTGTCCACTAGAGTCTGTCTCCTGCAGTGAGTCAGTCCCCATAGAGTCCCATGTTAAAATGTCCAACTTTACAGCTGCAGTTCCTCCAGTGTCCACTAGAGTCTGTCTCCTGCAGTGAGTCAGTCCCCATAGAGTCCCATGTTAAAATGTCCAACTTTACAGCTGCAGTTCCTCCAGTGTCCACTAGAGTCTGTCTCCTGCAGTGAGTCAGTCCCCATAGAGCCCCATGTTAAAATGTCCAACTTTACAGCTGCAGTTCCTCCAGCGTCCACTAGAGTCTGTCTCCTGCAGTGAGTCAGTCCCCATAGAGCCCCATGTTAAAATGTCCAACTTTACAGCTGCAGTTCCTCCAGTGTCCACTAGAGTCTGTCTCCCGCAGTGAGTCAGTCCCCATAGAGCCCCATGTTAAAATAAACATGTTTACAGTCTGGTACAAAAACAGTTTGGGTCTCTAGAGCTCATTTCTCTCTTCAACTATATGGGGGTGAATGTTTATACAACTCACTTGTTTACATTATATTAAGGCTTAAAGGGATGTGGGGGCGTGGCCTCTTTGAGTGACAGGTGGGAGCTGCTAGCTGTCTACTAGGTGTCACCTCAGCTAATTCAGTCCCTGACCTTTAACCTCTGCGCCACAATCACAAGTCAAATCTCAAGGATGAAAAAGCTAATTCATACTTGCAACTCAGCGTGGCTGCATGTGACTGCACATCTGGGTCACCTGAACGTATTGGCATCAAAGACCCCTATGCTGTCCTATAGCTGCCCCCAAAAGTGCCTGTGTGAGACTTACTCGTCTTTAACCACAAATTCACTTTACTACGGGTCCCAGACTTTCAATCAAACCAGCACTCCTTAAGTTTTATCTACCGAACAGTATACCACCGCTTGATTTAAATGCTCCTTTATGACCTCATGTTGGAGAAAAGAGGGGGGGAAGTGGCTCCAGTCTGGTCCCCATTGTCATGTATCTCAGATTGTTTATGCAGTGAAGAGGATGCATGCAAAGCACAAAGAACAAGGGGGAGTTTTCAAGTTGCATGCAGCCCACTGTACAGGACGCAGCCTATCTTATGGTATTTACACTGTCTGGATTTACATTGTAGTGGGGTCATGTCTAAGTTCAGGTGTGTGAGAGGACTTCAGAGAGGACACTGAGAGGAGAAGAGACGGAGAACACAGGATTGTCCTCTGCGGTGTCTTCCTCTGAAGCTAACCAGATTAGCTGAGAGTCGGTGTTTGAGCCTCAGCAGCCTCCAAACTCCCAAACTCCAAGTCCAGGGGAAGAACTTTGTTGCTTTGCCAGCTTTATAAATAGCTCTGACTGAAAGGAAGTGAAGCAGCGAGAGGATGAGACGGACAAGGGCGGTAGAGCTGACGTCGGCAGAGGACTCATAACTTAGGAGAATAAGTAGTAGATAAGTACAAA